ACCAGATCGCGCAAATTGGCCATCGGATCACTCTGTACCGGGGCTGCGGTGGCTGCACCTGACTGCTCAAATGGCCGCATCTGTGACTAAGGAGGAACTGGCCCTTGTCTGGGCGGGTAAAGAGGTTGTTGCTGCTGGAATTGCCCTTGTCTAGGCTGGTAAGGAGGCCTCTGAAAGCCTGGAGTTCCCTGGGAGACTGGTGGTCTAGGATTAGTCCCACCCCAGGAGAAGTTGGGATGCTGGCGCCACACCTCGTTGTAAGTGTTCCTATAGGGGTCGAAACAGTGTGATGGGAGCTTTCGCACCACTGGCAATGCATTGTCTGCTGCTGTCATGTACCTGAAACCATTCCAGAACAATCAATGCCTGATACCAGCTTAGATACCACCTACACCAACTCAGACGACTGGGTGGCTACAACATGCACACCCCGGCCTGGTGCTCGTGTCGATCTCCTAGCAGTTCCCCAATCATATCCTTGCTCTACCATCTCTTCAAAGAGTCGATTCAGCTACGGAGTGGTCGACTCCCTCATCGCCTGACAATCTTCCACAGTGTGATGTGAGCTTTCGCACCACTGGCAATGCATTGCCTGCTGCTGTCATGTACCTGAAACCATTCCAAAACGATCAATGGCTGATACCAGCTTAGATACCACCTGCACCAACTCAGACGACTAGGTGGCTACAACATGCACACCCCGGCCTGGTGCTCGTCTCGATCTCCTAGCAGTTCCCCAATCATATCCCTGCTCTACCACCTCTTCAAAGAGTCGATTCAGCTACGGCGGGGTCTTGGTTAGCATGTTCCCGCCGCAGACCGAGTCAATCAGCTGCTTATTTTCTAGGAAGAGGGCATGGTAGAAAGTGCCCACCTTGAAGGCGTCATTGAATCCATGATTGGGTCACTTCAGGAAAAGACTGGTGTATCTTTCCCAAGAGTCCTGAATGGTTTCATCTTCCTCCTGGGCAAAGTGGGTGATCTGCTTCTGTAGGTCCGCCATCTTGGACGAAGGATGATAGCGGGTGAGGAACTTGTTCGTCAGGTTGGCGAACGTGGCGATCGATCCTGGAGGCCGAGTGTCCAACCACTTCTTGGCTTGCCCCTCCAGAGTAAATGGAAGTACCTCAGCTGGATGGCATCTGCTGGGACCCCATTTATCTTGATCCCATCGATGAGCTCAAGGAATTGCCGCAGATGCCATCTGGGCCACTCCCCCTTTTTCCGCGGAATACCACCGAGCCGCGCAGCATGGTGATGACAAAGGTGCTCACCTCAAAGTTATTGGCTAGAACTTGAGGGTGCTGGATGGGCGACCTCATGTCCGCGACTCTGGTGGTCCAAACTGCGACCAAGTGTAATCGCAGTCCAGAAATGCAGAACAGTGGCAACTTCTATTTATCAACCTGGTGATTTTAGCTAAAGCTGTAAGAAAGCAGGAAATGGTTCGAAGTTCTTAAGTAGGGGAAGAGTCACTCGGAAATGCGTCCCCCTAGCTCCATAGTTAGGTTAAAGTTGTAATTACCTTTGGTTGGTTTACTGTTGATTAAACTGCGGAAGATCCGCCAGTATCTTGGAATCACTTAAGCTGACCAAGCCCTCTCAGACAGACTAACCGGCAGGCGACTAGCCTTCACCAGGATAGACTGCTGAGGCAATAAACACAGAACTCCACTACTGGAATTGGATTCCAGTACAAAGCAGTGAATCCACTAACTCTCGTGTAATCGATTCACTACTACCGATTGAAGAAGCTCTAACAACCTAATCAGGTTCTATCTATCTCAGGTTGCAGCAGAAATCAGGAAAAGTTGATCTGGCTTCAATTGAGTCAATCAAAACACTTCAATCGATTATAATCAAGCAGTATCACAAACCAAAAGTCATTACAATCAATATCCCTAACACATGGAACTAGGGTTCTTCATACCCAAGTGAGAGAAGGTTTTACTCCATAGAGAGAGAGAGAGGGAAACAAAAAACAAATCAGTCATACTCATCAAGATGGGAAGAATCTGCTCGAGGATGATAATCTTCACTCCAAGGATGAAATCCAAGCTTGATTGATGAAACCCAGCTCCAAAATCACCTCTAGGGTGTGTTCTTCACACTTTCTCTCTCTAGGACTCTGTTTCTTGCTTTGAAAATCGACCCCCCTCCAAAAAGACCCAAAATTGGGTTAAAACCCAGAATTCCACAACCACACGGCCGTGTATAATTCCCAACTTCCTGTGGGGGGGTGAAAAATGCCACGTTTCACTTATGTGCCTTCATGCACGTTACACGGCCAGAACTGCACGGCCGTGTGAAATCTCATCCTGCTCGTGTGAAGGTCTCTGTGATTTCCACACGGCCACAAGGGATCCATTACACGGCCACTGCGATTTGTCCGCACAAAGGGATTCCACACGGCCACGTCACACGGCCGTGTGGTTTCCCACCTTCCGGTCAATCGTTCCAATTTCGTCCAATTGTCCCCAAACTCGTGCCTGAACCTTCCTTCACGTACTAGGACCTGAAATATCACAAACATGAAAAAGCTAGCATGAAATCGGCCTAAAAAACGAGAGATGAGACTCAAACGATAGAGGAATGATGGACAAAAACATGTGTGTATATCAAGTCATCAGAAGGCAATTCCAGCGCCAGAACAGCCCACCTGCAACGACCTCTTTTTTGCAGGGGATAAAACAGAGTACCGACTTCGGCAGTCTTGCCGACGATGTGGAGAGGAAACTAGGGCACGACTACGGCAGAGATGAGTACCTGGAGGTTGGGGAAAGTTCGGAGAAGAGAGGAGTGGGCAGAGAGCATACTGACGATGGACGAATCGTCCCGGTGAGGCGGGCAGCAGAGCGTCCCAATTCTCCGACGAAACAAGCAGGAGAGGGGTCTGATGGGTGGGGCTCTGGAGAGCACTCCGACCACCACCAAGGAGACCGACACATTCCACTCCACAGCAAGAAGCTCTCAACTCGATCCAATGGCAACGAATCCTTCTATTTCTCGAAATCAAAATCGATTAGAGAGTGCTCTGAATATGCGCAAAACCGAGCAAAATGTAGTGGATTGGTCGTGGCAGTCGAGACTCGCCACCGACGCAAAAACGTTCTTCCGACCATGAGAACGTTGCCCGTAACTTCAGTGGAGGTGGCCTTGCCTGGAATGGCAACCTCAAACTCACTAACGATGCCTCTGTTTGGGACGAACAAGGGTGTCCAAGACCACTTCTTGTGCAGCATACCCCAGCTCAATTCAAGATGAATCCATGTTTCAGAATCATCAAAGGGGTCAGCGGGAAGGTGTGGGCACACTCAGTTTGACTCGATGATGGATGAGTTTAAAACGCCCAAAATGGAATTGGGTACCCTGGTTTCGAAAAGCCGCAATGGCGGGAAACAACGAAGAGATGGTTTGATGCAAATGACGCCGATTTGAGATGAAGGGAGGCTTCAGAAAGTTGATTGGGCATTTGGCGAAGTTTATGGAAGCAATGAATTGTTCTGGAAGTGCCTATATCGAAAAGCCCTAATTTTGTTGCTCAAGAACACTGTCCTAGTTTTGCAGAAATTAGAGTTTGAGCAGCCTTCTTTCGATCCGATTTGGGTGCAGTTCTGTGACGAATTTGAGAAGAGGAAGGTACCAGCTTTGAGGGCAAAGTTTTTTGAAGAGGGGGAGCCTGATATGATCCAAATTGGATCAATTCACAATCCACAATTACTTGCCAAAGAAGCCATCTCAACTCACATGAAGAATTTTGATTTTTGGCAAAGTGTTGGAACAGTTTCGGGATGCCTACTTTGGAGGCATGGGGTCTCACCATTGGCTCACTAAAAATTGGAGTTCAAGGGCTTGTTTTAAAGATAAAGTTACCATCTTTCCAATGGTATGCTTTTTGGATCCAGAAGATGTCATTAATGTTATTTTCCAAGGCCTCAAAGTTGCAACCTCAAAACTGGGAAACTGCCAGAAAATGGCACTGGAAACTATTTTGTGAAGCGTACTTTGGAGCTTAATTCGAGGAGTATGGATCTAATTCAAGACCAAAGGATTCCACAACATGAAACTAGTTTTGTTTATGTACGAAGGGAAGGAATTGGAAGAAGGATTGGAGTTTTGGAAGGTCTCGAACGAAATGCGCGAAGTTAGTACGAAAGCTGCTTTTGGACTGTTTGCTGGCAGCTTAGGGAGTTTAAACTTGAATTTTGTGTCCTTTTTAGTGAGACTTTTACCTTATTTGTTTCCTTGTTCATTTAGGTTTGTATTAGGTTTTCTTGGCTATAAATAGCCTTCTATTTTCTTTGTAAAACACAGATTTTGATTAATCGAAAAAGAAACCCTTTGGTTTTGTGCAAGTTGCGACTTGTTTGAGTTTGGTGGATTCCAAACTTGTGAGCTTTTTATCGACTGAATATTCTCTTCAATCGTGGTCAAGCAGCTACCCTTTTATATCATACGAGCTTTCCCCAGGTGTGGATATGTCTGGTGATTCCGTTTTATCCCAATTTCGTATTAAGAACGCGTTGTTCTTGATTCAAGTTCAATCAATTTTTGGATTGATTGTTTGGTGCGTTACTTTCATAAAAATACTCCCCACAGTATTGTATTAACTATGTATGACATTATGAGATTCTGTACACCCCTCCAGAATTAATATTATGAGGTAGTGGTGCTAGTTACCCTTTTACAATTAAAAAAAAAAACTAATACATATTGAGCTTTTAATTAACCCAACTACAATCAATGCAGCATGGACCCTTGTCCCACATGAAACGCATGCATGGTTTTATTTTCATCCTACAACTCATGGACTACTATAAAAGCAGGGAAAGACGTAGAAGATCGTGCCACTTCTCACAAAACTAGTGATCAGTAGAGAAATTAAATCTCCCCCCGAAAAAATGATGAGCACATCCCCCAACAGCAGCATCCCGCCGGCTGACTATCCCATCGACGTAGTCGCGATCCCCGCTCAATCAGCCCCGCCACCGTCCTCCGCCATGCCTCCGCCGCTCCAGCCCATCCCGGGGTCATACGGGTGGCCGGTGGTGGGCCCGCTGAGGGACAGGCTGGACTACTTCTGGTTCCAAGGGCCCGACGAGTTCTTCATGAAACGAATGAAGAAGTACCAGCCGACTGTCTTCCGCACCAACATCCCGCCCTGCTTCCCCTTCTTTGACGGCGTGAATCCCAACGTGGTGGCCGTGCTGGACTGCAAGGCGTTCGCCCACATGTTCGACGTGGAGGTCGCCGACAAGAAGGACATCCTCGTCGGCGATTTCGTCCCCAGCGCTGCCTTCACCGGCAACGTCAGGACCTGCGCTTATCTCGATACTTTTGAGCCTAACCACGCTCAGGTTGAAAATCAGTGATAATATAACTGAACCAAATTTTTGTTAGCTTTTTTATAAGTGCGATGTAGGTTTGTTTTTATAATTAGTTACTACTTAAATGATTCGAACTTGGGAGGCTAGAACTTTCAAATTTAAAATTAATGATAATCCTTTTCGACCAAAGTCTTTTTCGATTGTTTTTTTTAATAAATTCAGGTGAAAAGGTTTGCGATGGACATTTTAAAGCGGAGCTCCAAGGTGTGGGTCTCGGAGCTCCTAGTCAGCCTGGACGAGATGTGGTCCACCGTGGAATCGAACGTGTCCGCTAAAGGCAGCACCAACTTCCTCCTCCCGCTCCAGCGGTGCCTGTTCAAGTTCCTCACCAAGTCCATCGTCGGAGCTGACGTGTCAAAGTCGCCGGACATAGCCAAGTCGGGACCCATCATCCTTGACGCATGGCTCGCCCTCCAGCTCCTCCCTACAGTCAGCATCAACGTCGTCCAGCCATTGGAGGAAATCTTCCTCCACTCCTTTCGTTACCCTTCTTTCCTCATCCGTCGCGGATACAACAAGCTAGCTGACTTCATCGGGTCTAAAGGTACACGTAAACAAACAAATCTTACACGTGTACATATATTCCACGTCATTAAGTAACATATTCCAAAGACCAGGACAAGAAGTGGTCGGACTCGGCATGATACTGTACGGACTCACTGAGGAAGAAGTGGTTCACCACTTGCTCTTCATTCTGGGCTTCAACGCCTTCGGCGGTTTCTCCGTCTTTCTCCCGGGCCTATTGGGCCGGTTGATCAGCGATCAAACTTTACAAGAACAGCTTCGGGTCGAAGCCAGGAAGAACGGCAACGTGGACCTTAGTTTTGACTCGGTCAAGCAAATGCCACTCGTGCAGTCCTTCGTCTACGAGACCCTCCGGTTCAAACCGCCGGTCCCGACCCAGTTCGCCCGGGCCAGGAAGGACTTCCGGCTCAGCTCGTACGACGCGTCGTACGACATCAAGAAGGGCGAGGTGTTGTGCGGGTACCAGCCGCTGGTCATGCGGGACCCCAAGGTTTTCGACGACCCGGATAGCTTCAAACCGGACCGGTTCGTGGGTGACAAAGGGGCCGAGTTGCTGAAGTATCTGTACTGGTCGAATGGGCCGCAGGTCGGGTCGACGCCCAACGAAATGAACAAGCAGTGCCCGGGGAGGGATTACGTGACCCTCACTGCATCGCTGATTGTCGCCTACTTGGTGCGACGGTACGATTCGATAACTGGAGATGGACTGACCATCAGAACCGTTCAGAAGGCTATGACGAAGTAATGGTCGTGGATTAATGTGGATGGTTATGTACATTGTCATACTCGATTCGATAATCGAGTAGACAATTGAATCGTAAGTAAACTGGAATTTTCTAGCCCGGATATTATGCTTTGTTATCAAATAAGCCTCCTTAAATGAATGTTTTCATATAAAGAGGCATTGTATAATGTATAGGCATTTTATGCAATGTATTATGCTAAGTTACCAAGTGTTCCCCTCTAATAAACTTTCAATAATATCATGTTTTACTTTTTAGTACGAAATTTTGTTAGATGTCGCTTTTCCACTTCACACTAGTCCGAGTTAGTTATGGGTTGCTTAATGAGTTCTATATATGAGAAGGAAAGTGACCGAGTGTATTGATTGGGCGGAGAGAGAAAAGTACAGCCAGCCAAATCGAAGAGGATGGATCGATCATCAATCATCTGATCTGCTGCTATAAATCAGTTGGTCCCAATAACTCGAGTTGTTGGGAGAAGGTTATGTTGGATCTTATACAGGCTCGTGTATGGTGCTTAACCACTTCCTTACACGCCCCCTCAAACGAAAGCCGACTCATGGGCTTGAAGTTTGCACAGGCCCGCCATACCATGTGCTTGAAAGACAACGATTAATATTGGGGGTCGTGAGGACTTGAACACGTGACCTCAATGACAAACCAACTCTGATACCATGTCAAGAACCAATTGATCCCAATAACTCGAGTTGTTGGGAGAAGGGTATTGCGGACTATGTCCGGTTCACTCAAGTCATCAAACCGGATCGGCCGCACGTCTTGGACCCGGTTCCCTCTTCTCTCATCTCAATCCTAGGGAATTAGGGTTAATGTCATTTAGTCATATATAAAGGCTTTTTAATTGTTGATGGCCGATTGATCATATGTACTCAAAAATCATCAATGAAAGCATCGAGAGCTCTGTCTCTCCGTGGAATAGTCTCGTTCTCATAGAACGGGGAAACCACGTAAATCGAGTGTCCCGTGTTTGTTTTATTTCCGCACGTTAATTTTACTATGGTATCAGAGCTAACCACGATCTCGAGTTAGTGTTTGTTTTCGCTTCCTGTGGTCTAGGGTTTCGTCTGTTCTTCTTCCATCATGTCTGACGGCGAGAAGGATGATCGCGGCAAGGGGGCTCTCGGCGGGGATAGTTCCTTCGCTACCAAAGTCATTGACGCGGCATCTCCTCTTCATCTCCATCCGTCCGATCATCCCAATCTCATGTTCGTGAGCGATGTGCTCACGGATCTCAATTACAGTGAGTGGGCAACAGAGATGTCCAACTCCTTGATCGCAAAAAATAAGTTGGATTTTGTCACTGGCGGTACGCCGCGACCCACTGAAGGTCTCCACCTCGAGGCCTGGATTCGCTACAACGCGGCCGTGGTTGGCTGGCTTCGCACAACCATGAGTCGCGACATCTGCAGTGGGATCGGTTCTGGCCTCGCCGCAAAAGAAATATGGGACGAGTTAAAGGAGCGCTTCAGCACCGGGAACCTTCCTCGTCGCTACAAACTTCGCCCGGAAATTATGGCCCTTCGACAGGAGTAGCTGAGTGTTGCAAATTTCTACGCCAAGATCAAGAAGCTGTGGGATGACTGGCTCACCCTCGATCCTCCAGCCAAGTGCACCTACGGCAAGTTCGAGTGTGACGTTGAACGTCGAACTCGGGCATCACATGAAGACATGAGGCTTCTCGATTTTCTTCTTGTCCTAGATGATGGATTCTCGGTCGTTCGTACTCACTTGGTCTCCATGAGATCGACGCCAAGCCTCGGGACAGCATACAATCTGGTCGCCAATGAAGTGCAGCAGCGTAGCCTCTCCGATACTCGGCCCCGTATCGATGCTGCAGCATTCCAAAGTCTTGGCGAGCATGCTGCTGGACCAGGGAAACTTGCGGCACCTACCAGCAAGGGGGAGTACTGCCGCACTCAAGATGGCAGGCCCTTCTGTCTCCATTGTCAAAAACCTGGTCATTTCCGGGAAATATGCTATTAGCTTCATGGTTGGCCGGCAAAACAGCCTGGCCGTGGTGGAGACCGACCTCGTCACTCACGTAATGGCGAGAGAGGTAATGGTGAGAACAAGCACCAACAGCGTGGTCCCCAGGCAGCAGCTGTCGAAACTGAAATTGGTGCGGTTCCGGGACTCACGGCCGCCCAGGTTGCCCAACTCCAGGCATTCCTTCACCCCGACCCGACTCCGACAGCTGGCATGGCGGTTAATATGACAGGTAATATTTTCTCTAATAATTCTACTTGGATTATTGATTCAGGGTGCAATGAGCACATCATTATGATCGGTCATTATTCATTGGTGAGCTCGAGCCGAGTTCTCAGTTACAGGATCGAGTCCTTGATGGGAAGGGGGTTCTCGTTCATGGCATTGGAACAACCAGATTATCTAATGGACTTATTCTTCGTCGTGTTCTCCATGTTCCGGATTTTCAGTGCAACTTGTTGTCCGTCAGTCGTCTCACAGCCGATCATTCAGTTTCCACGATATTCTTAAGTGGTTTCTGTGTTATTCAGGACTTGCGTTCGAAGAAGGTGATTGGGATGGGGACACATCTTGATGTTCTGTATCATCTCAAGGTTTTGGATGACAGTCATTCGGTACCTCTTGCGGCGCAGAAGACAGGCATCGGTACAAGACTGTGGCATTTGCGGCTCGGTCACCCATCTGGGGCAAAGTTGTTGGCTCTCCAACCTTATATCTCTAGTCCTTTAGTTATCAATAAATACCCGTGTGATTCTTGTTTACGGGCTAAACAAGTTCGGCTTCCTTTTGATCCCAGTACTATTCATACTAAAGATTATTTCGAGCTGATTCACATTGACATTTGGGGTGGTTATCATTAGGCTTCCTTTTCTGGAGCTCGTTATTTCCTTACTATTGTTGACGACTTTAGTCGAGCAGTCTGGGTTTTTCTCTTGAAACAGAAGTCGGAAGTAGCGCGCTACCTCGTACTCTTTTGTAATCAGGTCCGCACGCAGTATGATAAAGTTGTCCGCCGCATTCAAGCGGACAATGGTCGCGAGTTCTCTACTGCTGAGCTGCGGGATTATTATGATAATTAAGGGATCATCTTAAAAACTTCTTTTGTCGACACACCTCAACAGAACGGCGTTGTTAAAAGGAAGCACCGTCACCTCCTCGACACAGCTCGTGCCCTTCATCTGCAGGCCGGACTTCCTCATCGTTTCTGGGGAAAGTGCGTCTTAACAGCTGCTTATTTGATAAATCGAATGTTGCTCGTACCGCTTGCCAACAAGAGTAGCAAGTCCGGGAATGCAGTAAAGTAGCAAGTTCTAATGTCAACCCGGGGTCTAGATCTACTGCCTACTCCGTGATTATCTATTATCTAGCAAACTAATTCGAGTGATTGTTGTTTTAACTAAAAGCAGTAAGTAAGCAGGAAATGGTCCGGTTTTCTTAAGTCAAGGAAGAGTCACTCGGGAATGAGTCCCCCTAGCTCCTTAGAATTAGGTCTCAATTGTAATTACCCTGGGTTGATTTACTGTTGATTAAACTGCAGAAGATCCGACAGTAGCTTGGAATCTCTTAAGCTGACCAAGCCCTCTCAGTCCAACTACCCGGCAGACGACTAGTCTTCACCGGGATAGAAAGCTGAGGCTATGACTAACTCTCGTATAACCAATCCACTACCGGAATTGGATTCCAGTAGAAAGCAGTAGATTGACTAACTCTCGTATAACCAATCTACTACTACCGAATGATGAAGCTCTAACAACCTAATCAGATTCTATCTATCTCAGGTTGCAGCAGAAATCAAGAAAAGCTGATCAGACTTCAATTAATTCAATGAATCATGCATCATTCGATTATAATCAAACAATATAACAATTCCAAGTCATTACAATCAAGATCCCTAACACATGGAACTAGGGTTCTTCATACCCAAGTGAGAGAAAGTTCTACTCCATAGAGAGAGAGGTGAAAACAGAATACAAAGCAGTCATACTCATAACAATGGGAAGAATCTGCTCTGGGATGATGATTTTCACTCCTATGATGATCTCCAAGCTTGATTTGATGAAACCTAGCTCCAAAACCACTCTTAGGATGAGTTCTTCGCACTTTCTCTCTCTAGGGCTCTGTTTTTGCTCCAAAAAGTCGATTCCCTCTCCTTTTGCTCGAAATTGGGTTAAAACCCAGCTTTCCCGATCACACGGCCAGGCCACACGGCCGTGTGGCTTACCCAGCTGCCCGTGTGAGTGTCAAAACGTGGAGTTTCGATTAAGTGGACTTCAGGCTTCCTACACGGCCAGGGACACACGGCCGTGTGGAATCTCCAGTATGCCCGTGTGAAGCCTCGCTAAATCCCACACGGCCACTTTGGTTCCTCACACGGCCGTGTGGGTTTTATGAGTGCCCGTGTGGCTTCCTCAGCGTCTCGCCACACGTCCGATTTTCCTCCAATCGACCCCGAACTCGCTCCCAAACCTTCATTCACGTACTAGGACCTGAAATATCACAAACAAGAACAACCTAGCGTGAAATTGGCCTAAAACACGAGAATCAACATCTCAAACGGCTCAAGAATTGGGGTAAAAACATGTGCAATTAACGGTCTATCAAACTCCCACACACTTAACCGTTTGCTTGTCCTCGAGCAAACCAAGTCAGACACAAGGTAAGCTCTCATATTTCAATCATACCAACATTGGGGACAAATCATATAGGCACAGAACAAGGGTATCGTACTGGCTTTCAACATCAACACATGAACAACTTCAATAGCAACCTGGACAACCACCACAGAGGACATTTGAGTGCATCAAAATCGAGTAAAGGGGGAGTCTCCATTCTGTTCACCAACCAACCTAGACTCGACTCAACCACTTATGCAAGACAGTCACCTCATGCACAAAACTCAAGATATCAGAATAGAGACCGAGCAATCTAGGTCCTCACCGGGGTACGAGAGTATAGAGAATATGAGAAAATGAATCGCTCACTCTCAACCAGTGGGGCC